TGTTTTTTTTGTTTTTTTTAGTGTATTTAATGTGTAGTTATCGTGCTTTTGCAAACTTCGTAGTAAAGATTTTACAATAAAATTGAATCAAAACATTCAAGGAGTGAAAATAGTTTGTTTTGCAAAAGTTGCACACGTGAATCCTAGAATAAAGTTTAATTCTTAAGATAAATTCCGGTTACGAGAGCGCAGATAGGCCGTTGTGTAGCTTGCGCTAAAACAAACACAATAAAGCATTGCATTACTTCAATGATTTAGCAGTAGTGAATTTTCATTTTTAATCAAATAATACAAGACTATATATATATATATATTTGCACGTTTTAGTAATAATATGAAATACATTAATGTAGGCTATAAATAAATGTGTCGCAGTTATGTTAAAACAAAAAAGAAAAATAACATGATTGAAGGAATCATTTAGGACTAAAATTTAGTTTACGATAAGAATACCAAGTGAGTGAGGGTGTGTATAGTGATCAGAAAAATCAAGGTATTTTACAAATTTTGGCATTTCAATCAACAGTAGAGGATTTCAGATTATAGTTCAAGATATCATGCTTGGAATAATATCTTTGTATTTAAATAAAATTAAAACAAAATTAGACATCGTCAAATTTGTCAAATGTGTGTGTATGTAATTACATAATTATCTTTAGTCATAATTTCCATGCAATACTTTGAGTGATACCCAACATGAGTAAGCTTCATTTAAAAAAATCAACAACAAAACTTCGTCTTTTTTTGTCTTTCTTATAATGATTGGCTCAGCGGCAGATCTGAAGGCTTATATTACTAAAACCAGAGTTTCAGTAAGAATGCTGGGCACATGGCATATAGCCTATTGTATAGCTTTTTCTTTCACAACAACAACAAAAAAATCTCATTGATAAATCCGAAACGGTAACATTAAATGCTACTTTTAGTAATTCGAGGTAAAGTGTAATTCCCTATTGTTTACGTCTTGCAAACCTACACAATATACTCCCAGCACTCTGTCCACCGCGGAGAATCGAACCCCAACAATAATCCGATTCCTAAGGCTAGTATTTTTTTATAAGCGTGTAAGAACCCAAATTATTGAAAGTTAATCAAACATAAATATTTTTTCTGTTGAAGTATTTCGTGCTCATTCTTGATATACAAATACTTTATCAGTGATCTGTGGAGTTATACAGCAAGCTAAACGCTTTTTCTTTTACTAATAATAACGTTAAAGCAAACGATATGTCAATTTGACCAGAAAAATGGCGAAATCAGTTACTATAAGATAACTTTCATACCGATTTTTGTGTTGTTTTTGGGATTTCGTGATTTGTATTGAAGTGTTCTACTCGCAAGTGTATATTTATCTATAGTTTCTCCACCTTTACGTGTATTTTTACAACATTACTAGATGTTTAGGTAGCACCATATAACAGGGTGTTTCTGAATATAAAACACATGAACAATTCAATAAATACCGAAAAGAAATATCGCATAGTAAAGGTAACACAACATTGGTAGTGATACTGTAGCCAGATCCAGATTCTAGATCAAAATCAGTAATCATAAAAGTACTTCATTCCCTTGGCATGTGGACGCCAGTGAGGGATAATACTTGGAAGTAGTGAGAGTTAGTACCAGGTAAACGAGGTCAGTGACAAGTATGTTGATGTGATTATCATCCAAAGTATAAAAGAACAAAGCTCGTTGCTCCACTTACATTTACTTTCGTTAACAGACAAGAAAATCCTTATGCTTTGTGTAGATCGAATGAAGCTGTTTATGCCAGTGTGGGAAATAAAGTTTTGATATTCGAACACTTGTTTCATAACGATCATGAGTTTCTTTATCTGGCTATTCTCTCTAATGCTAGGAGTCGTATCCACAATGACGAAGACTACACCACAAATAAATACAACTTCTGGTCAGCTACTTGGTCGATCAGTGGAGACTCCATTTGGCCATGTTGACCAGTATCTTGGGATTCCATATGCCAAGGCTCCAATAGGTAGTCTACGATTTCAGCCACCTCAACCACTTGACAGAGATGAAGCAGAGATTAGACGAGATGCCACCAAGTTTGGTCCAGTCTGTTTCCAGCCTCCTCACTTGAAAGAAATGATCAGTCCTCTCCTAAGGACTAATGGAAATGGTCAGATAGCAAGTAGTGAAGATTGTTTGACCTTAAATATTTACATTCCAAGTGGGAGACAATTGGACACCTTGCCAGTAATGGTGTGGCTTCCAGGAGAAGGATTCGACTATGCTGATACTACCCAGTTTGATGGTACTTTTCTTGCGACCATAGGACAGGTCATCGTCGTCACAGTTAACTACAGAGTTTCTGTTTTTGGGTTCCTGTCTACCCTGACTCCTGAAGCTCCAGGTAACATAGGATTCCTGGACCAACGACTTGCCCTACAGTGGATTCAACAAAACATTGGCCAGTTTAATGGAAACAACAGGAAGGTCACTTTCTTTGGTAGGTTTTCGGGTGCCATGAGCGTTAGTGCCCATTTGGCTTCTCCATTAAACAAGGGAGAGAAGCAGTTATTCCATAGGGCTATTTTACAGAGTGGGGTAGCCACTGGACAGTGGATTTTTGACAGCGACCCTCTGAATGCTACCCTACAATTAGCTAAAGCTACTGACTGCAGCTCCACTTCTCTGGACACTGTAGTCAGCTGCCTACAACAGATTCCAGCAGAAACGCTACTGAATAAATCCAACTTGGTTTCTCAGCGTTGGAGACCTGTAATTGATGGACATTTTCTGACAGAAGATCCACTTTCTGCAATCAGCAAAGGTCAACAAGCTGCTGTGGACGTAATTCTCGGAGTCAACAATGACGAAGGTTCGTTATGTCTTCTGTCTTTGTTTGCTCAGAAGTCTGAGCTCTACCAAAAGATTTTAGATGGACAACTGACCAATGAAGATTTTAATTATCTCCTGAAGACAAACCTGGAAGACTTTCTAAAGAAAAGTGACCATTCCATTCACAAGGTAGCAGCACACGAGTACCAGCATTTCAAGAATACCAGTCTAAGAGAAAGATACGTGGACTTCTGTGGAAGCATGTACATCAAAGCCCAGACAGAACAGTTAGCCCGAATACTGATTAAGAACGGGATGTCTAAGATCTTCCTGTACGAGTTTGCTCATAGACCTTCCTTTTCTATCCACCCTGACTTCATTCAGGCCGCTCACGGAGATGATGTTCTATTCACCTTTGGTCTTGTACACCAGCTACCCGAGGTTCCGACTGAAGAAGTGAAGCTGAGCAGAAGAATTATTGCTGCTTTTTCCAACTTTGCTAAATCTGGGTAAGATTTCATGTTGTGTTATGTTTTAGGCGAAAAAAAAAAGTTAAAACGTAACCTAAATATAAATAACGGAAAACATAATTCCTTCGAAAAACTTGTAGAATAATAAAATAAAAATAACTAATGAATAAAACATTCTTGTATGATTTTATACTATTATTAAATCTTTATACCTTTAGTGGTAAAAACCAAACGTTTTGTTTTCTTACAGAAACCCTAACTCAATAGCTGATAAAGACGACCTTCTTTGGCCCGAATTCAGCATTTCAAATCAACAGGTTCTTGAATTCACAACAAATATGAGTCAAAATTCCATCAGACCTTCAAACTACAAATTGGACGTGGCGTTTTGGTACCATGTTGTTCAATCTTTAAATTGTAATTCACTTACATCTTCGATTTCTCCTGTTCTTGAAAGAGGATTAAGTGTTACGTCTTTCAAAGTAAACATTTTTGGTGCTAGTTTAAGTACTGACGAGGCAGAAAATACTTTGTTAGGCCTAATTATTGCCGTTATAGTTCTGAGTATTGCATTACTTATTTCGGCACGATATATTTTTGTAAATTCTAAATACAGGAATTTTTTCAAAATATAGAGGTTATATCTAAGTTCAGTTCAGTTTATAGGAATAGAATACATTTATATTCTAATAATTTTTGTCAGTACAAATATATGATATAAACACCAACAAAAGAAAATCAGCTATTCTCTTAAAATTATAGGTTTAGTGATACATTTCATCTTGTACAATTTGCATATTTTCATCACTAGGTAGTGGTAGTTTACACATTTAACAGCAAAACAGTCTTATTTATTGTGATTATATTTGTTATTCTTGCCAAAAAATGAATCTTGTGATTATCATTATTGACAGGTAGTTTTGATGTCTTTCATTGTTAAATCATTAGACAAAATGTACTCCATAACCGATGCTATGCAAATAATTGTTTTAAATAGAAACTATTCAAGTGCAATGAAATAATTACTAATGTAGAAAAATATTAATGTAGTTTCATTCCTTTTTTTAGTAACAAGAGCAGATCGTTTGAACAAAATATAGTGAGCTTATCCCTAAAGAGGTCATAATTGTGAGTGAAAGTGTACTATTAGTGTTGTTGAAATTGAAAGTATAGTTGATGTGTTCTGGTTTGTATTTGGAAGATCTTTCAAATTGTTATATTTAGTCTCGTCAATTTTACCACACGTAAGTTCGATACATTTTACATCTAAAATGTGTGCCATATCGTTGTTTTCGTTATTATAGGAAGATGAGGTAAGACGGCCACCTTAACTTTGAATGTAATGAAAAAAGCAAAAGGTTTTAAAATGAACTCTGTTTTGTTAAAAATGTAATTTCTAATTGAAAATTAAGCACAGATCTTCTTTTTTTTTGTAGATATTGAACAAATGCATTTTTACCTGTTCTCCGGTGGGTCAGCGGTAGATCTACGGGTTTACAATGCTTAAATCCGGGGTTCGATTCCCCACGGTGCATACAGCAGATAGCCTAAAGTAGCTTTATTCTAACAAACAACTGGATAAAAGGGAACTCTAAGATGGGATAAAATGGCCTCTCATTCAACTCGTAACAAATGCAATCTAAAATAAATTATTCATTTAGCCACTGCATTTAAATCACTTAAATCATTATTTAAACACTCCAGGCAAGAATCGGAAAGCCTCAAAGACGAAGGTATGTAGATCAGTGGGGTACATTGCGGCTGAAGCCTTGTTGAAAATTACGTCATTTGTGTGGAATAAGATTGGCCAATCGTCGAAAAGTAACGATACGTTATAAGAAAATCGGTCAACTTTAACCATGTTTCTTCGCGTATTCAGCTATCTATAATTCCTTATAGTCTAAGGAATTTCAATGTGTTGATTTGAAACAATCTACTTTTGTAAACATAAATTCAAAGTACTTACCTCAGATCAAAGTTGTTAAAAAAAAACACAAGAAAAATAGCAATTAGCGTCCGTCCGCCAGTGTGTTTATGCAAAGATTCACGTGAGTAATAAACATATAATTCACTCTGATGGCAAAAGGTCATAACTAATGTAAAAAGGTGAA